AGTCAAACATACTGTTTTATATTAGATTGGTAGTAGGAGTTTAGGAAATCAAACTTATTTAGGTTAGGTTTAGATTTGGATTTTGGCCTATCCATACCTTGAGTGCTTTTTCTCCACTTTTACAGTTCCCCATATTGTGTTGTTTAAGTACTTGACACTTTTGAGTGGATATATAAACATTCCCCTTCTTCCCCATGGCGTGAAATGAAGCAGTGTGCAAAATGTTAAAGCTGTCATCTACAGATATTTCCACATGGAGACATGGAAATCTCAGCAACATTCAGATGTTTTCAATTTCAATCTGCTGCATTTGGTTGAATTATTTTCTTATTGAATCTCTTTAGTTTTTGGTGGAATTCACTTTTTTCTAATGCTAACTAAGGTAATAGATACTTCAGAAATACTGTGGAAAGGCTGTGGTAGATATTTCCATTTATAATTGGCACACAGGCAGATTTATAAATCTGTCATAGGTACTTGCATGGCTCCCATTTACCATAATATCTGAGCACCTCACAGTCTTTAATATATTTATCCTCATAAGACCCATTAGGTAGGGAAGTGCTATTATCTCCATTTTACAGATGGGAACCCATGGCACCGAGAGGCTAAGTAACTTGCCCAAGCTGTCACAGGAAGTCTGTGGCAAAGCAGGTGATTGAAAACAGCTAGACTACAGTAAGTAGCCTAATGCAAGGGTTGGCACACCCACAGTGATCATCATACCCTGTGTACTGTAGTTCGCTACCTTATATGCCTGGTTATAGCGATAGTCTCTGAAAATAAAAATAAAAAATCTTCAGCATTTTTCTAACACAGTGTATTAACCCTGCAAAAGATTATTTGGCAGAATTTGATAAGTATGTCGGCTTTCTGTTCAAAGAACAGATTTAATTGGGGATTGGTCCTGCTTTGAGCAGGGGGTTGGACTAGATGACCTCCTGAGGTCCCTTCCAACCCTGATATGCTAGGATTCTATGACTCTAACACTGCACCTCCCCATCTTTGAGCAAGGAGCAGCCAAAATCTGACCCCCTTGTGCTCCAGAAATAGACAGGTATGGGAGTTTTCCTGTTGACTTGATTGGGAACAGTTTCAGGCTGAAATACTGACTTTCTGGGAGATCAGATATTTTTAACCTATTAACATTAATTTTTTTGAATAATGAGCGGGAAATCTCAGGTGAGAGGTTTGTCTGTCATCTCTGAATTGAGAAACAAATCTGTGATCCTGATCCTGCACCATGGAAGTCAGTGGGAGCGTTAGCGGGCAAAGGATCATACCTTGTGTCTCAGAGCAGGGGGGATTCCTTCTGTATGATGGTAGAGTGCTTTAGAGTGTTACATAAAGCTCATCTGGACGAGCTAAACATGAAAGAACTCGAGAAAAGCATGTTCATGGCCTTTTCTGAGTGAAGAACCTAAACTCTCTGTATTCAGGGGCATGCTGTCTATTCACAGGTTTCAGAGCTTATGCCCAAATAAATGTGTTAGTCTCTAAAGTGCCACAAGGACTCCTTGTTGTTTTTGTCTATTCACGGTTATAATCAGCCAGCGGCCTTCAGATTCTGATGTGCGTGCATGCACACAAGCCCAAATGCACATGAACGTGCACCGTACTTTCCCCATCGTTGCTCCTCATGAAGAAGGAGCTAACGTTTAGTGTCTGGGAGAGTGACATCTCTGAAAGCGGCTAGCTAAGTAATTAAACCTAGCGGCAGTGAGAACCCCTGAGATGAAAACCTTGGCGGTTTTCTACACCATGTAGTGTGCTTCAGGTCACAAAGGGCCTGTAAATAGCATGGTAATGGCTGATTCCTCAGCAGGAATAAGCATGTGCTTTGAGTTTTCTAAATGATTCAGAGGCACACTGTGAGATAACTACTAATAACAAGCAGATGTGAAACTTGCTTTTCAAGAGAGGGAGGCACAGAGGGAGGGTAAAATAAATACTGTTCTTGCCTACTTTCAGGGAGCCTGATTTTTGATCCCACTTAAGCTGCTATTTACACTGGTGTAACTATTGAAGTCAATGAAGTTACTTCTGTTTTAGAGCCGTGTTAGAAAGTGTAGAATCAGGCCCAATGAGATCATGCAGACTGAGGCATTTGAGACCCAATCATAAAGAAAAGTGTGGCTCTTCTTTTGCAAAGATAAGGAACTTGAGATATTTCAAAATCTATATTACATTAGGGTGGTGTCCTGTTTGTTTTGGTCCAGAAAACTTGCATATGCAATCTCCCCAGTTATCATACTTTTCTAGAATGTGCACAAGCAAATTGGTACACACAATCCATCTTTGTGGGGCTCTTCTGTTTTATTGGTATAGGCTTACATTGTTTGCTTCATGTAGCTGTTGTGTTTTACCCAGCATGCTGCAGTTCAGATTTGTAACATCCATAGGTATGAGTCTTCCCTCTAGAAGGAGTGGACTGTAGAGTCTTGTGCATTTTACCCAGGTGAAACCTACATTTGCCCAAATTTGCCCAAGTAGTAACATAACACAGGAGAAGATCTTTCCCTCAGATATGTACACAGGGCTCCCACAGAGCTCAGTGTGAGCCACATACCTGTACCTGAGGGAGAAGAATTTGGCCCACAATATGTTTTTCTTTGGAATCACTGTTCTTTATGCTTGTAATATACACTGTGGGACTTAAACTGAGCCTTTTTTTAGAAAAAGAAATGAGTCTGATTAAAGAGCCTGCAAAACGTTTCAAATACCCCGCACCGTTTTTTATAGCTTACCATTTACCCCTGAGCTCACGATCATATAGGTAGCCATTTTCACACAGTTGCTCTTGGTAACCATATATATTTCATATATATATTGCATATATTTCAATGAAGGGACATATAATAAATTAAGAAAACACTGTGAACCTGATTTATCTGGGCTACTTAGATGAATAAATGCTGTTCATCATAAGTAAGGTTGGCAAATCAGGCCCTATAGAAACATCTATCTTATCTGTCCTTCAAATATTGTCCCCATTACTGTAGTATCTGAACACCTCACAATTGTTAATGGCTTTATCCTCATATGCTGCTGTGAGTTGGGTAAGCTATTATCCCCATTTTACAGATCGAACTGAGACATAGAAAGGCTGAAGGCCAGATTTTAGTCATTGCTCTGCTCAGCTTTGCAAGGCCTGCAGGCCAGATTTTCAAAGGTATTTGGACACTTAAAAATGCAGACAGGCACTTAATGGGGTTTTCAAAAGTACCTAAGCAGGTTAGATGCCTAATTAGGCTAGGTTAAACTTGCAACACTGAGCAGAGCAATGCCTAAATACCTTTCAAAAATCTTGGCCTAAGTGGGTATGTCTGCACTGCAGCTGGTAGATGTGATTCACAGCATAGGTAGACAGACCCGAGTGCGCTAAAAGAGCGGCACTGGTGGCAGCTTCAGCTAGCTCCTCAAGTCCAAGCCCGCCTGACTCCCTGGGCCTGAGCTTGGGCAGCTAGCCCAAGCCGCCACTAATGCTAGAACATCCACTGTAAATAAACTGTATAAATAGTATATCCTGACACTTTAAAAAATTCTTTGGGGGCTAAAAGGAGTATAAGAACTTTTTCTGTTCCCCTGATGAAAAGAGAGGTTGCCTTATGCATGGGAAGAAGTTTAAATTGCTTTATTATCATTCTTAGGCTAGTCCCTATCCTTATTTCTGTTTACTTTTATCTGTTTACTTTATTTATCTGTTTACTTTTAAATCCTGACACTTTAAAAAATTCTTTGGGGGCTAAAAGGAGTATAAGAACTTTTTCTGTTCCCCTGATGAAAAGAGAGGTTGCCTTATGCATGGGAAGAAGTTTAAATTGCTTTATTATCATTCTTAGGCTAGTCCCTATCCTTATTTCTGTTTACTTTTATGGCCCTCATTGATGTAACATCTGAGAGCATCAAAAATATTAATGACTCTCATGACCCTCTTGTGAGGTAGGGAAATACTATCCCATTTTACTATCAATGGGGAACTTGGACACACACAGATGGTCACACAGAAAATGCATAGGAGATCCAGGGACAAAAGGCACATCTCCTGAGTCCCAGTCTAGTGACTTAACCACAAGACCATATTTCCTCCATATCAACAAAAATTATGATGTTTGGTAGAATTAATAGTTTCCAATATCTTAAAGAATCTTACAAATAACTTGTATGTTCATAGATTTTAAGGCTAGAAAGGATAACAGTGATCATCTAGTCTGACCTCTTGCATAATGTAGGACATAGAATTTCACGTAGTAATTCCTATGTGAAACCCATAACATCTGTGTGAGCTATAGCATGTCTTTTAGAAAAACATCCAATCTTGATTTAAAAACTTCAATCGATGGAGAATTCACCAGATCCCTAGATAAGTTGTCCCAATGGTTAATTATCCTTACTATTAGAAAATTGCATTTTATTTCTAGTCTGAGTTTGTTTAGATTCAGCTTCCACCATTGGAAGTTGTTATGACGTTGTTTGCTAGATTAAAGATCCCTGGACTATCCAAAATCATTTCCTCATGTAGGTATAGACGGCAATCTAGTCATCTCTTACCTTCTCTTTGATAAACTAAACATATTAAGCTTCTGTAGCCTCTCACTTTAAGTCATGTTTTCCAGACCTCAGATCATTCTGGTAGCTCTTTTCTGAACCCTTTCCAATTTTTCAACCTTTTTCAAGCATGGATACCAGAATGGACACGTTATTCCAGGAATGGTGTCATTAATGCCATACACAGAGGTAATACCACCACCTAGTCCCACTTGATAATCCTCTTCTTATACAGCCAAGGATTTCATTTGCTCTCTTAGCCATCACATTGCACTGTGAGTTGGCTCTCCACCATGCCCCTGCATCCTTTTCTGAGTCACTGCTTCCCAAAATACGGTCCCACATCATGTCTTGATTCCTGTATGTATGACTTTGTATTGAGAGGCATTAAAATGCATGTTATTCAAGTGAGTTCAGTTTACCATGCAATCCAGATTTCTCAGCAGAACTGACCTGTCCTTATCAGCATTGCACACTCCACCGGCACTGCTCTTATGTTCTAGACATACAGACCACGATGAAACCTGTTGAAGAATCACTTGTTTTACATTGTACAGTCCCATCTTTTTCCCCCAGGCACCTAGTTGCAGACTAAATAGGCATTTGAAAAGTATTTATGGTTTGAATACTGGCTTTCTATACAGTGTCTTGCTATTGCTGGCTCTTCCAACAACCAAATCAGTCCTGGGGCTGTCACAAAAGTTTGTTTAACAACTATAGCCCTGAAATGCCAAGTTCATAAATGTTGTTTTATATACTCTTGGCTCAGTGGAGCATCTGGTTCTTTTCCTGAATCCTTAGTTGACAATAACACTGGCGTCCTCACTTGAGAGAAGCAAACTTCCTCTCAATGTTTCGTGGAAATGGCTGGATTAACTTGTCTTGTTTTTCTTCTATTTTGTATGTTGCTTTTGAAAAATGTGGTTCTATGGTGCAACAAGAGCCTGGGTTGGCAAGTTTGCAATTGGTGTAGGCATGGCATTACATTTATATAGTGCTGTAGGTGTACATGGCACTGTACAAATGGCACAAAACAAGTAGCAGAGTCCCTGCCTGAAAAGCTTTCAGTCTAAAGCCATGAATGGGTACAATACATTATACAACTCAATGAAAAGGTAGTGTGTAGGCAGACACCATGTGGTGGATGACCACTGGAGCTGGAAGGCAGCCCAGAAGAAAATGAATTTGGAGGAAGGTGTGACGGGTGTCTCTGGGTGCTACCTGAAACTGGGGTACTGCTGAGACCTCTGTCCTGCTAACCTGAGCTCCCTCTCACCCTGTGATGCTGTGACATGCTGCAAATCTCTGGTAGGTACTGCTTTCACACAGACATCCACAGGCAGGGACACACCCAGCTGAGTTACATGAATGCTTCTCCCAGCCACTCATGAACTAACAATAGAGGAACTCCAGCCAATTCCCCACAGCTCCCCAACTTCACTCCCCTGAGCTGTACTATCCTGCCCTGGTCAGAAGCCTAACCATTGTACATTTATAACCTCATCCACCCTTCCCTCAATGTGGAGAGGATATGCACCAGTTTTTGTTCCCGAGCACTTCAAGCAAAATACTTACTGTTTTAGATAAAATATAAAACAGGTTTTTTAACTACGGAAAGATGGATTTTAAGTGATTATAAGTAGTGAGCATAGAGATCAAAGTTGGTTACCTAAGAAATAAAATAAATTTGCAGTTTAAGTTATATGAACTAAACAGGATTTGACTCAAGCAGTGTCTCACCCTGGCAGATAGTATAAGCAGGTTACAGATCTTCAATACATAGGCTGGAACTCTCCTCCAGCCTGGGACTTGTCTCAGCATGTCGTGGAGGGCTTCCCTGAGTCACTAGGTTGAGCAATCCCTCTGGTGTGGTCTTGTGCAATGGGGTCAAGCAGTCCGGTGCTCGCGCAACTATCCTTGAATTGTAAAACCCTGGATTATAACTTCCCTGCCTGTTAATGGTCGTTGAGTACACTCTGTCCTTGAATACCCTCCTGTGAATGATTTGCTTTCTTTGTATGCCATTAGCAAACTTACAACATATTTCAGTAATGAGCATACAGCAAAATCTCATAACTTGATACACACTAACAATGTACACGTTTGGAAAGAAAAATGGGTTTCAGCAGATCATGACTTTTCATATGATATCTTACATATGTCAGTGGTGAATACGGAGGTTCCAGGGTATTGCTTAGGGGTACAGAGCGTCACAGTGGAGTTTGAAGGAGATGAGGGAGAGTGGTTGGTGCATAAGAAATGAGAAGCTACTCTAAGCCAAGGGGGTTTAGACCTAAATCCTCAAAGGATTTAGGTGCCTAACTGCCATTTTGGGCACCGAAATCTAATATTTAGGAGTCACTGAGATCCTCAAACCTTTCCCTCCCCTCAGTTGTCACACAACCCTGTACGTGTCTAAATTCCCTGGGAACTTAAGTTTCTGCAAGCAAAGTCCACTAGGTGCTTACATTTCCATTGACGATCATATGCAAAACCACTTCCGTCCTGATGCTGGTGGGCTGCTCAGCCATTCTAGCTCACCCCTGAGCCCTGTCAGGATTCTCAAACTAGGCATTCGCCCGCCTATAAAAGTGCTGCTTTTACAGAGCACTCCTACCACAGAAAGGCAGCTGGGGACAGCCAGATCATGAATTTTCAAGGCTGGGGGTGGGTAGGTGTGTACCCAATAGCCATAGGACTACAGCGCTCACTCCGGAGACCTATTTTCAAATCCCAACTCTACCTGCTTTGGAGTAGAGACTTGAACTTGCGTCTTCCCCTCGTAGGAGAGTGCCCTAATCCCCAGACTACCAACTATGCTGGGGCAGAGCTCTCTCGGTCTGTGCTGTTGAAGCTGTTCCATGCTGTAACAATAATCAACTGTTAATTGGGCCACAGAGAGAGAATGAAACTCCAGCCTGGTGGCTAAGGCACACACTGGGACATGAGAGATTCAAGTTCAAATCTAGGTTTCAAAGCAGGGATTTGAAAACAGGTCTCCCCGCTCCCACTTGTATTCCCTAACCATTGGGCTATTGACAGGAATGGGGTAGAGTTTTTTTTCCTTCCCTCTGATTTCTCATGAGAAAGGGCCGACCAGGCGTAGGTGCCTAACTCCAGGAAAGGGTTCACGGCTGTGAATCCCGATCAGAGATAGCCGCATTCCCCTGGTCCAGAGTTAGGTGCCTACCCATCTATGAGGGACTAGGCTTAGGCCCTGCCCCTCTCCTTGGTATTTCCTATTGGCTATTTTAGGTGGCCCTGTGAGCTGGCTTCAGTCAATCCTATTCTTAGGCATCTAACTCTCCCCATGCATTTTATAGGGAGTCTGGACACCTAACTTGGGTCTGAGGCTTCTGCTGGGTGGGGGGTGCTTAAAAAGCTAGGCATTGTAACACTGAGCTCTGCAAAGCCTAAATCCCTTTGTGGATTTAGCCCTTAGTGCTGATCCAGCTCCCATGGACTTCAGTTGGATCTGGATCAGGCTCTCAGTGAAAGGAGGTACAAAGTCACAGGTAGGAGGAGAAAAAGGGAGCAGTTAGGAGAGAAGAAATGGAAGAACATATGGAGGTGGAAAAGAAATCAAATGTATAGGTGTAATAATCGGGGTGAGCAGCTTAGTTTAATGCAGAGGAATGGGGAAACCAGTGAAGGCCCTTGAGAAAAGTGATGTAGTGAGAACAGTGGGCAGGAAAGATGATCTTAGCTGCAATACTTTAGATACATTGGAAAGGTCAGAGGAGAGATGAAGAGACCAGTGATGAGGAGGTTTTGATATTTGAGATAAGAGATGACCAGGACTTTAGTAGAAGGGATGTAAAGAGAAAGCTCATTTTAGGGATGTTTTAAGAAAGAAAAAATAAAATTTAGTGAGAGTTAAAAGTATGAGAGTTTATTCATAAGATAGCAGGAAATATATAGCTGATATAGTTTCCATATTGAAACAAGATGGAAATTAACAATATGGAAATTTCTACTGGAAACACTTCTGATATTTTTAGTCCCACATTGTCTAGAGCTTTAACTCTCTGGTGGATAAATTTGTTTCTCGTCTGTTCTGGAATTCAGACTCCACAGGCATGAAGAATACCAGACAGAAGTGGTGTGTAATATCTATGTCCTTGTGCATTTTCAGCTCCATAAAGGAGGATTTAGATGAGTGACTGCTGTTGTTAGAAAAGTGCCAAAGAGACCCCAAGAGCTCCCAGTAGATCTAAGAAGGCTCATACTCTTGGCAAAGAAAAAGAAAAGAGAGGTAATTCCAAAGCGTGAATAGGAGTGAAATTAATTGACTAGTAAGTTAATGCATCCTTGTGACCTACACAATTTTTACCTCCTCATATTAGTATTCAGAGTCTGGTAAGAAAGAGCTTATTGCTCCCAGCTTTGTCTTCATTTCTCCACATCCTATAACTACCCCTTAGACTGGCAAAGTTACCATTTCTGCCAAAGAGAGGCCCAGGATTGGAGTAGCAGGGAATTTGCAGGTCAGGACTGAGGTTTATTGGTAGAGCGGTAGGAGGATGACGTTTGCACAGCCCTTGATCACATTATGTAGTGGTCTCTCAGTACCCTCAGAGAAGCAGTTCTTAGAAAAGAAAATGGTAACAAAGACGTGTGATTAATTAATGTTGTTAATTATAGAGCATTCTAAATGCTCTGTTTATTGTCTACATCTTGTTTACCCTAAGTAGGAACTGTCTGTGGGTATTTTTCTCAAGTACAGCGGGAATGTGATAAAGTAAGAGACTTTTGAAACCTTAGTCTAAAGGAGACATCACAAATGGGCACAGTGAGCAATCTGAGACTCAATTTTGCATTTATTTAACTTTTAAAAACAAATTATGATGACCTCACCCCTTTTATACAAATTCCTCAAACAAGTCATGTCAATGTCTTCCTCCCCTGAGAAGTGGTTGTCAACATGATCTCATTAGTGTTTGATTCCCTTGCTCTTGGAGGGCCAGATCCTACCATGCTTACTTTTGATTCAGGCAAAACTCCAACGGACATCAGTGGGAGTTTTGCTTGGACAGGGAGCAAATAAGAACTATTGGATTTGGCTGTAAGAAAATATGAAACCATTTTGAACATTATTTTTGTTCTGAAACTGACCCTGCTGAGCAAAAACCTAAGAAACGCCTTAAAATAGGATACCAGGGCTACTGAAGAGGGCTTCTAAAGTTTATATTGACAAGTAATATCTTAAATGTACTGAGTCAAATTCTGCTCTCATCTACACCAATGTAAATCTGGAGTAACTTCAGTGAAATTAGTGGCATTCCTCTGGATTTACACTGGTGTAATGGAGGTCAGAATTTAACATAAGAAAGAAACTCCATGTGAAGAAAGCAAATTCCCTCTACAGTCTTATGACTTTTGTTTGGTGTATCTGTGTGCACTACAGAAGCCTGATCCTTCAAACACTGCCTGCTGGGTTCAATGCTTACTCCTGTGACTGCTTCCAGTGGGAAGTATGTATCTGGTTGCAGGATTAGAGCCTTAAATGGTAAACCACTCGTGGGACAAGGATCACATCTCTTCCGTATTCTGTACAGCACCAAGGACACTATCAGTTGTGAAAAAATAACTCCATTGATTTACGTGGTGGAGTTACACTAAGGATAAATTTGAAGAGTTTTAGAGGGGAGCAAACTTAAAATACCCACACTTTATTTTTAATAGTGATATTCAGATTAAATGTCTTCAAAATTCACATTACAAATGCTCCCTCAACGATGTGTTCACTTCAGAGTCCATAACTGCTTCTTTGATCACACAAATGCAGATTTAGGGACAAATCCTGCCAATTTGAGTGCATGTGCATTGGCTTGAATTGGAAGTTAATGGGATGTGCATGCACATCCAAAAACTAACTTAACCTGTAGCGTAAGTTACCCCATCAGCTATTGACCTATCTAGCATAATAGTCTTGTAAGAAAACAGAATTTCAGTCAGTAATGGCTGATAAACAAATCCAGTCCAGTTAAATAAATATAAGCACATATTTTTTAAAAGTCTAAATCAAAGAAAGCAAATATTTATATTTTTTTAGAGGCAGACAATGCAAAGAATCCAACATTCATCTTCTCTCAAAATAAACAACTACCAGTTGTTGAAACCGGCTAGTTTTTTCAGGCCACACAGAATGTGTGAGGTAGTTTGATTTAGCAAAACAGAATCACTTTCAGCTTGTGCTTTTCCTAGAAGTTTTACCAAGCAGTCAGACAACACTAACGGGCAATAGTTGACAGGCCAAATTTTGCTCTCGGATACATTGGAGCAGTACTATTCACTTCTGTGGGGATCCACAAGAGTAATTGTGAAAAGAAGTTGGCTCAGCTTCCATATGAAAGTAGTATTCATGAACCAAAATACTCTTAGATTCAAGCCACTGGGACTTGGCACAGAATCCCAACATTGAAACCAAATGAGAATTCAAAAGGATTTTCTTCTTTTGTTCAGTTTTCCCAGGCACTGTACAGATAAGTTGAAAGACACAGCCCTTAATCCTTTTCTTTACAGCATTTTAGGCATCCTTAGGAAATGCAGCAAATGACCTGTTAATCTAAGACATCCACAATATTACTCTGGCATATAAGCAGTTAACAGCCATCAGAGGTAATGAAGCATAGTTGTGTCCAAAAGAGGGTTCATCTGTCCACATTCTAGAGATTTTTCTTTTCTTTGTTTCCTCTTTTTTTCTTCTTTCTTCTCATCTTCTTTGTTGGATGAGCAAGGTGAAAAAATGATGTCATGTCTGCAACAAATCTTGGAAACTATACATTTTTAAAAACAATCATCTGTTTGAGCTTTTCTCCATGAGAATTGGGCTGGGTCCAGATGTGTTCCAGAACCTGCCACATTCAAGCGTATGTGTTTCATACAATCCCTAAATTGATTATGCCATTTTTGAAGGAAGAAGCAGCCGAGTCACAACCACATTGCAGATCCTAAAATGCACATTTCACTTTCCCTTCCTGGCATGGGCGAGAGTTACAGCTGAAAGCAGAGTAATTTTTTTCCCCCTGAGACTAGAATAATGAAGAATTAAAGCTACAGCTCACTGGGACTCACATTTGTTGGCAATAAAAGGCAGCTGCAGTGACAACTTTACCAATTACCCTGTCAAAAAATGGACAAGTTGCTTTGTGAGAGAACCGAGATGGAAAGGCTAAGGAAGCCATCACTGAGTCCCCAGTAGAACATATTTTCATACTGTTCCCTTCATGAATAGGTGTCCAATATTTCAGAAAATGATACAGCATTTCAGCATTTCTTTAATGTGTTATATCACTTATTAAATTTGTATAATGTTAAATAGCTTATTGGGCAAATGGTTCTAGAATGCAACATTTACTTTTATTTCTGTGACCAAGAAACATGGTCACAACAGCCACTGTGGTCAGAACAGGATTATAAAGACCAAATTGATTGAACTGTTTGTTTCAGTAAATGCCATCTAACCAAGATTTCCTCAGTAAATATCTTCTACGTCGATGTAAAGAAATTGGCATCTTCCAAATTTTCTAATAAACACAGGTCACTTCAGATCTGAGAATGTGTGCCAAGATAAATTACAATGAATCAGTTACTATCTAGTACTGTAATCCAAAGGCACTGCTTTCTCTACTGGGCCTTTTAACAATCACTGGCATTACAGGGCATGTTGTTGACTGATTTTTGTGCAGTTGCAGAAAGCATGATTTAGGGCTCAATTGTTCCTATGCTCTTTCCCCAATCCATACTGACAGCTCATTCACAGAACTTTCTTTCTTCCCCTCCATCCATTTTTGTATTCCTGTCAAGAAATAAGTAGCACTCCAACAAAATAGCCAAAATCTCCCTTTTAAAATGTGGTGAGCAGCTCTGAAGAAGGCTCTGGAGATGGGCCCAAGCCACAGATTAGAGATCTGAATCTGAATACAAACTTCCCCATAATTCAGGGATATCCAATTCTGGGACTTTGGTGCTTGGCCCATTATAGGAAGAGGGGCCACCCAGAAATTCAGAATTCTAAATTTGCCCTCTTTCAAGCGCCCAGAACAATTAGAAACAATGGGAGAAGCTGGCCCATAATAACTGTGTTACACATTACAGCTTGCACATGTTCCCTGGAGAAAACAAAGCAGATAAGATTGCTTGACTGTGCAATATTAGCATGCAGAACCAGAGCTTACTCACCAAAGCTCTCACAGACCTTGGCAGTATTACAGGGTCATAGTTTCACATGGATGAACTGTTCCTAAACAATATCTCCAATTGTGCTAGACACAAACAGGCTTTTCATTCATATCCGGAGTTCATGTCTTCTGATTCATCCTATTTGTTCCTAGAACAAACATTTTTATTATGGTCTTTGTAAGTAAAATCATTCAGACAGTGTCTCAGGGTAGGAGAGAGTACTGGCTATTGATCCACACTCACCCCCTTTATTTGAAGTCCCTTTCAAATCCTAATGGGTGGTGGTCATTATTCTTTTCCAGTACTAATTATGGGCTCTATTTTGTCTTTAATCACATCCCCATACTGGGGTGATGTGGTTCTAAATCATACCAGCAGGAGGTCGCCAGTGTGCATGCAGATCACACCGGGTGCTATATCCCTTTAGGAGTGTAGCTATTTCTCCTCTTGCACACCGGGCCAGTGGAGAGGTAAGCTGTGGCCTGTCCCCCTTTGTGTGTCTTGCACAGTTTGTGTCCCTGCTGAGTGGGTTGCAAGAGGGACACTTTGTGCCACTCACATCCATGGAGCTTTGGACCTTAATACAGCATTGCTCAATAAAATACAGTATTTTTAATAGGTAAGAAATGAAATGGCTATTAAAAATATGACTGCTCTTCTATCTTCTACTTTCTTTCTCCTATGCAGCAAGATTTTGCCCTAAATTTGCTACTGCATCCCTGAAAAAATACTTAGGAAGAGGCAGTTCTGAAAAAACACTGTTCACTTAAACAGAGATCTTGAGAAAATAGGGATGGGAAGAGAAAGGGAGCCCTTACTTCAGACAAGGCCAGCCTAGTCTTAAGTAAGAGCATTATACGTTAGCTGGCCATAGCCACTTCTGATTCTATGATGCAAGAGCTTTCAGAACATTTTCCAACTGATAGAGATTAAAACAACTGGAGATGCTCAGGGTTTAGTCTATTGGCTGTGTCTATTTTAAGGTTACATCCATGTCAAAGTGACACTTTTAATTGTGCAACTCTGCATCCTAATTACTTGGTTTTATACAATTATAGAAACTACACCTTGGATCTTGTCAGTTAAAAATACTATCACAGCAGCAGTTATATGAGCTGACTCTGTCCACCTTTAAAAAGAATTTCAACATATTTTTGTTAAGAGTATGCAAGACAAAAGTTATTCAAACGAGCAATGCTGCATTTAAACCAGTGTACAGGAAATTGTCTTTTCTTGCACTTCAAGCCATTAGTAAAGAACAAGAAAAGCATGCAAAGTAGACAAACACAATAGTCTCTGCTGTGAAAGTATTCTGCCTAGGTCTTCAACCATTTTCATCCTGTGCAGGCTTGAATAAGATGCTCACACGTCACAGGGAGTGAGTTGTGAAATATGTTTAGCAAAATGCATATTTTATGAAACACATGTGAACACTCCAACATCACATTGAAAGCTGTGCCGTTCATGGTGTGGTTCATGGTGTGGCATTAGCTATAGTTAATTGTCTATCAGCATTTCCCAGACTTCTTTTTAGGAGTGTATACCTCAGCCATGGAAAGATTCACTCTGAGCTGAAACTTGACATTGAAGCAACCAGCCAAAAAACTTTTTGTGTTAAATAGAACTACATGGAAACAGACATTTGTCGACAATTTTTGCACTCCTAATAAACCAAAATTATTTTTCAACTGAAATTTTGCTGAGCATGAAAGCATAATGGGGACTCAATGTCCCTGAATTTTGAAGACATGAAGGCAATTTAGTTTGTTTTAGAAACAGGTTGCTGTGCTTGTGCATTAGTTTTTTAAAACAAAAATGTGAAGAGTGAAGACTTGATTGTGATTTCACTTGCATTCATATAAATCAGAGGTAACTCTGTCGAACCAGTGAGGCTATATTTGTATAAGTCAGATCAGAATTGGGATCCTAAGTTTCTTAGTGCAGTGACCTACGTTTCTGCCTGCTTTGCTCCAAGTAGTATTCACCTCCAAGTAAGCACACATAATTCCCACAGTATTCTTGTCAGCAAGTTAAGGAAGCATGGGCTGGAAGAATGCACTATAAGGTGGGTAGAAAGCTGGCTAGATTGTCGGGCTCAATGGGTAGTGATCAATGGCTCCATGTCTAGTTGGCAGCCGGTATCAAGTGGAGTGCCCCAAGGGTCGGTCCTGGGGCCGGTTTTGTTCAATATCTTCATAAATGATCTGGAGGATGGTGTGGATTGCACTCTCAGCAAATTTGCAGATGATACTAAACTGGGAGGAGTGGTAGATACGCTGGAGGGGAGGGATAGAATACAGAAGGACCTAGACAAATTGGAGGATTGGGCCAAAAGAAATCTGATGAGGTTCAATAAGGATAAGTGCAGGGTCCTGCACTTAGGACGGAAGAACCCAATGCACAGCTACAGACTAGGGACCGAATGGCTAGGCAGCAGTTCTGCGGAAAAGGACCTAGGGGTGACAGTGGACGAGAAGCTGGATATGAGTCAGCAGTGTGCCCTTGTTGCCAAGAAGGCCAATGGCATTTTGGGATGTATAAGTAGGGGCATAGCGAGCAGATCGAGGGACGTGATCGTTCCCCTCTATTCGACATTGGTGAGGCCTCATCTGGAGTACTGTGTCCAGTTTTGGGCCCCACACTACAAGAAGGATGTGGATAAATTGGAGAGAGTCCAGCGAAGGGCAACAAAAATTATTAGGGGTCTGGAACACATGACTTATGAGGAGAGGCTGAGGGAGCTGGGATTGTTTAGCCTGCAGAAGAGAAGAATGAGGGGGGATTTGATAGCTGCTTTCAACTAGCCTGAAAGGGGGTTCCAAAGAGGATGGCTCTAGACTGTTCTCAATGGTAGCAGATGACAGAACGAGGAGTAATGGTCTCAAGCTGCAGTGGGGGAGGTTTAGATTGGATATTAGGAAAAACTTTTTCACTAAGAGGGTGGTGAAACACTGGAATGCGTTACCTAGGGAGGTGGTAGAATCTCCTTCCTTCGAGGTTTTTAAGGTCAGGCTTGACAAAGCCCTGGCTGGGATGATTTAACTGGGAATTGGTCCTGCTTCGAGCAGGGGGTTGGACTAGATGACCTTCTGGGGTCCCTTCCAACCCTTATATTCTATGATTCTATGATTCTATGATTTTTCAGACTTATCACATGACTGCTTTCATCCAGTCATGAGCAAAGATTTTGTCTTGTCTGTAACATTGCCTTTTTTCAAAATTTTCAGTAATGTTCTTTACAAAAGTAGAAATACAATTTCTCCCTTCCTTGCCATTTCACATGATAAAAGGTATTTCAAAAAGCCCACAATTAATATTTTTTCAAGCTTTCACAAACTATCAAGTAAGGGTTATATGTTCTTTTAACACACTTAACAGCCAGCACATATTATAGTAAGGTTTATTTTTATTGTAGTGTGTTTATTGCTTAATTAGGTGGCTGTTCAATGAATTTTCCTTATGTATAAATGTGACAAATTGTTGCTGGGCAGATGTGCACACATTTAACAGGTTTGCAGATTTGTTGACCAAATTTGTTGACCAGTTTGCAGTAGGATTTTTATCTACTTAACAGACTTATTCCTTTACATACAAATTTGAAGATACTGGCATAAGGGACATAGTAAATATATTATTTCAACAGGGTTTATGTTGTTATCGATAGGTTACTTACCTGGACTGTAAATACAAACTGCACAGAACACCATTCCACATATCAAATGTCTTTTTTCTCTTGTTCCTAACATGTGACAAGCAGATTTAATTCCATGATTCATAATCTGTTTGCAAAGAAAGGTAGAATGCGGCATTTGCCTATTTCTAAAACTTAATTAAGAGAAAAAACAAGAAATGTATCTATTAGTCCCTGTTCTGCCAGTGTGCTGGGAGCATCATACAATAATTTATGAAATATAGTGCCGTGAAAATTACCTCCCCAAAATATAAAGGAATTTAAAATAAGAGGTAAAATCACAATTGCAGATAATTCCCAAACTTATGGAGTGCTAGTCATAGGCAGAGAGAAGTCCATTAATCCAAAACTGTGGCTTCCTTGCCTTACAGAGCCCTTGTGCATTGGCAAAAATGCCTGAAACAGGCTCTGGTCTGGTGAGGGAAGCTCATGCTGAGGTAATTGGATACTAAAGAAGTGTGTCTTTATAGCAAGGTAATTGGATACTAAAGAAGTGTGTCTGCCAGGAAACTCAGAGAGCTAAGAAGTTAATACCAGATCTTTTTTCAGTAGAACAATATTTAAAGCTGAGCTGAACTTCTTTCTGTAGGTGGGCATGCAGTTTGTTGAGATTAGGAATGGATTTGTAGTCAATGGATTTGTAACCTTTCACACTAAGGTGAATTTGACCTAGTGTGTCCAGAGATCTTCCTCTTCTATTCAGTGATTAAATGCAACCATGCACTATTAGGAGCTGGAGCATACTGGTGACACCATGGGAAAGGCTAGTCAGAAATGGGTTTGGACAATGCGCATCCACAGCCATAGCCTGATAAATTGATGCATAGTTTATAGAGTCCAAGTGTTTTCCATATTCATGTTCTTATATGAGGTCCTGTTATGCTCAAATTGGTCTTCTTCATTCACCTCATTATTTTTGTGCATCATTTTATTCATTTGGTCTCATTCCAAGTAAGAGATCTATTTTGCTGTTATTTATTCAAGATTAACAGGAGAACCTCCATCTCTTCCATTTTAAATCCTGAATAATGCCCTCCATTAGACTTTTCATATGGAAAAAAAAGTATTTTGTACATTATGGATAATCCTACTTTCAATGAAGTCAATGGAAATTTTGCTGTTGACTTCAGTGGCAGCAGGATAAAAGCTATATATTCATTTGAAGCTGTTAACTCATGATTTACTTACTCCAATTCTGTATAGTCAGTTTTCCATTACCATATATTGTGAAGCCTATAGTTAAGGATACCCAATCATTTTCATTATTTCATTTTTTTCAACTGGATGTTCCACACATTTGTTCAATCTGAAATTTTCAGTAAAGATGGTTCTGCAGTTTGCAAGCATGGAAAAAAGAGACAGTGCAGTTTTTCTGCTATAAACTATTTTGGGACCTTATTTAGACAGCTGTAGCATGGCAGTGGCAAGTGATGGAAACTTGGAGTTTGTCAGAAATA